GAGATCCATTTTGATAAAAAAATAATGACACTGTGTCGAAAATAAATATTTCTGCTCTGAATTAGATTGGCAAATGTCACATGTACAAAATGCAATTGGATTCACCTGTCAAACTTCATACAAGTTTAAGTGGCGAAATCTAACAGTCAGCGGTAAAAATTAATCGATACACCCAATAGGAAAATTATACTTGTACAATAATAAAAAATATTAATATTACCACTAAGCGCGGCAACGGCAACTTCTTCTCCATCCGGTTTAAATGCAACAGCAGTAACATTCGATTGAATTTCAATGGTTTCGTGATCACCGGATGATTCAAGACAGTTCCAAATGCGAATGGTATGATCCCATGATCCAGACACCAACATTGATGATGTTGCAACCGGAGCGAATGTAAGTGAAACGACAGGTCCTTCATGTCCGCTCAATACTTCCAATAATCGACCTAATTTCATTGACCACAAATAGATTTCGAAAATATCTCTTCCGCCAGCCACAACCAATTCACCGGATGCATCAAGTGCTAAACTCGAAAATTGAACTGGTCTTGGTGATGTAAATGTCCGAAAATTACGATATCTTACTAAATCATAGGCGCGCACTGTACCATCGAGTGAAGCACTCACTAAAAACTTTTTATTATTGCTAAATTCTAGAGCAGTGATTGCGCTCGAATGTTCACTGAATGTGACAAAACAAAATCCATTATTAACATTCCACACTTTTACTTTGGCATCTTCACCACCAGTAACAAGATATTGGCCATCGGGTGAATAGGCAACACAATTCATTTCACTTGAATGACCTTGTTGTTTCATAATATACTGTTCACTTTGCCATTCCCAAACTAGCAATTGACCGAGATTTGATGAACCTAATGCAATCCAATCACCAGTCACGTTAAATACGACTGTTTCAATTGCAAATTCGGTAATACTTAGCGAGTGAATCAAATTCACATCGGGCATTTCGTGTAGAAAAAAACAACCGTTCGAATAAGCTGTTATTAGCAATTTCGTTTTCTGGTGATAATTGGCGGCTGTTAGTTGTGCATTTGAATCGGTTTTGCGAACATCATCAAGAAGATAGTGTCGAGCCAGTCGCGTATAACTAAATGGATGTGGTTTTACTGATTCATCAGTAACAATTTTTCCTTGATCATCACGACCAGTTATCGCTATACGATCATCTTCATTTAATTGGTCTTCTTGTTCGATATTTGAACCATCATCATTTTGTTCTTCCAATGATTTTTTTGTATCAATTTCATCTTCTGTCGTTTCATCGTCTGCCATTTCTTCTTTGATATTGAATGGTTTTAAATTTTCCAATTGTAAATTACATTCCCAAATGCATAACTGACCATTTCGGCTGATTGTGCTAATATCTAAACTATTTTCTTCAAAGAAACATCCAACAATTGCATCTGTATGACCTGCTAATTGGTATGGTCGGAAATTTTGCAAAAAGTCAATAGCACACAATTTTGTTGTATTATCACGTGCACCAATCGCCAACAATTTTGAATCACTAGACCAGTCTATCCATGTAACATCATCATTGGCTCCATGGAAATGTCGATATGCTTTAAAATTTCCATAATCACCCGATATTTCACCAGGCACAATATAAACAGATACAATATGTGATCGAGAAATGGCAAAATATTTACCATCCGGACTAAAACGTATACAGTTTACTGTTTCTGAAAATTTATGCGTATAAATTACGGTTTGTGATATCATACTGATCATTTGTGCCTCTCCTTTTTCATTAAGAGCTATCATTAAACATCCATTTGGCGAAATTGCAATGGCAGTATAATTATAACGGCTATCCAATGAGAGAGTTTTCGATTTGTTGCTGAGAATAAAGGGGTTTTATTTGTATTTTGAAAGGCTTAGATGTTGTGAAATTATTTGACAAAAGAGAAAAAAATGACTCACTTTTTTAAATCGTACACTGTAATTCGATTTCCCACTGGACTTATGATAGAATTGCCATCATTTGAGAATATCACATTTCCTTTGCGATAAATCGTTCCCAGTAAATTTGAAAACTATTTGAAAAACCATATGGATTTTTATTTAAACAATTGTGTCCGTAAGAATAAATATGGCAATACAAAAACAGAATCTGAAGAACGTTCCATAATTTTTTTTTGCATAGTACAACTCCATACAAAAAAAATTATGTAACGTTCTTCAGATTCCGTTTTTGTATTGCCATATTTACTTTTACGGACACAATTAATTGTATACATGCTTTATTCTCGTCTCACCTTATACGAAAATTTCATTTTGTCTTCGTTTTTCTCGGATTTTCCTTTAATGTCGGCTACCACATGCAAAATCAAAACAATGACACCTAACCTCCCAATTTGACAGTTATGTTCGCACGTGATAGCTATTTTCCCATTTACCGACAATAGCGCCACTCATATGTTCGAAACAACAATAACGAATACAGCTAGAATGAATTGCACGTTGAATTCTCGACGTAATATTTTACACACAGCATAGATTAGTTTTTGTAACAATAGTATTTTTTGCATCGTTTAACATTATAAGATATCTTTAACACCTTACTATTTCATTACTTTTACTTACCTAAAGATGATGAATTACAATTCACACCCGACAAGCGCAATACAATCTAATTAGAATATAGCAGACAGCGGGAGAGAGAGAGAGAGAGAGAGAGAGAGAGAGAGAGGGAGAGGATACACAAAAAGAGATAAATAAAAAATAGCACAGTCAATATCTGTTGTTTTTTTTTGTTTTTTGTTTTATTCTTTGTAACAAATTCCAAAAAGAAAAAAATTCCATTGGAACATTTTCAAATATTCTCCTTTTTTTTCATTCAAATATTTTTTTGCTTACGCGATGTTCAATTTAGTTGGTGCAGTTGTTGTCCCAGTGATAACAACAACAACTACTACAATCACTCTATAGATATATATGTGCTTGCCATTTTTTCTTTTCATTTTTTGTATGTTGTTTGTGTGTTTTTATGTGTCTGTCTCTCGCTTAACCAATATATTACTGATATTTATAGTATAATATTTTCATTTTATGGTAGTTTTTTGTTAATTTTCCTCTAAAAATTGAACCAATTCCAAGTGCCATGCCCAAAAATGTTGGAATCGAAAGAGTCAATACCTAAATAGATATTGGTTGAAGGCATTCGAAAGTGGTTCAATTTCAGTTTTTCAGAACATATACATTTTCTTTCAATTTAAAGTTTTCAATCAACATTTTTATGTTGTCAATAATTTACACCAGTTTTTGTTAGCGAACATTTTTTTTGTGATTAATGTTTTGCACACATTAGAAAATTAAATAAAAAATTCGAAACATTTTTAGTTGGTTTTATAAATACCAAAGATGTTGAAAGAAAAGTGAAGAAAAAATAATAATAAAAAGCAAACGGTTAAGTGAACTCTGTGCAAACAAGCACAAATGAACAGTATTAATAATATACACGATTGGAATGTACAAATAAATTGTGTGTTAAAATTATGCATTCATACATTTTTCTTAAATGTTTTGTTTTTTTTATTCATTTTTTTCTAACATTATCCAACTAAAAAATATCAATTAATTCAATAATAATAATTGGTTCATCGTACATCCCCTGACAATTCTTAAATCTTAGCGACTCAATATTTTACTTCTTTTCTCTCTGATATTATATCAGTGATATATTTCATTTGAACATTTTCGCAGTTATTAGTTTTTGTTACTTTCATTTTTTGTTTGAATAAACAATGTTGTGACTGAAAGTTATGTGAATTGTATTTATATATGGTGTACTTGGGCTTTTGCTACTGCTAGGTTTTTAGTAGGAAGGAGGCAAAAGAAATAGAATCAAAATCACAAATGAAAACTAAATGTTTATCAATGTCCTAATGTGATATATTTATATATTTTTTTCATTATGCATGTTTTTTTTTTAAATATAATACGTGGTTTCTAATCGCAGATAGCATAGCATCGCATAACTATGCAATTCTATGATATGATCGATTGGAGAGTTTGTTCTCAATTACAACTGGCATATCTAAATAGAAAGACAATGATTTTCTTTGCTTCAAAATAATAATAGAACCCAACCAAATTGTGAATTTTATTTTTCTTTTTGAAAATTCAGTCACAAATAGTAAACATAGAGACAAATTATTCAATGTATACATATATAGTGAATAAAAACGAAAAAAAAGTATGGAAAATAGTTAATTGTGAATTAAGAAAAATGTCGTCGACCATAATTGGATAGATGTGTATTGTTCCCTTCGTAGCGGAATGAACAAAATGCAATATGGATTTCATTTTGTGCTATATTTTATTTGCAGTGAAACATATTGTATTTGCTGGCGTATTATTCAAACAATGATGAAAATAATGTTCGAGTGAATATGGAGAAAGTCACATACGTACACATCCGCATAAACAATGTGCTGGTGTAGCAAAGTGAATAAGTGATATATCCTAATGAAATTAAGTACGCCGCTTACAGTTGATCTTATCGATTTGTCGAATTAGAAAATTGTTGAATATGGTCTGATATGGCTGACGAGAAGAAAATCAAGTGGTCCAGCATCTTGACACACCTGGTCGGCTCTCATAATTCTATCATCTCCACAACTCAAATTTGTCTATCTGCATTGAACGGATCGATTTTGAAAATGACTTGATTTATAATTGGCAGCTTTTGATTTAAGATGTTGTCCAAGTCTAAATTACATTCTATTTTCATTTTGAAATGACTGCTTCATTCATGCGTGAAATTTAGTATGTTAAATTTTAATCGGTCAAGATGAAATGGATTTTATTTGTGCGTGCACTTGATCAGTATTTTTTCCCAGATGTCGTGTTTTTGAACACGATATGATCCAACATAAGATTTCTTTTTTGATTGGGGACTGGAGAAAAGAGAATAATCTTTTCCATTTTTGTTTTTAATGATTCCTAACCGATTGATTAATATGAATTAATGCATACGAAATGCAAACTATATAATATTTCACAATTTTTTTTATCATTTTCTCAAAACCGATTGGAACAAATGCCCAAATCAATATCAATATATGTTTTTACCGGTTTTTACATGGATTTCCAGCGACAAACTATTTTCTTGTGGGATATAAATTTAGATTTTTTCGCTGTCCCTCTCTCTCTCTCACACACACATTCTAACCGCGTTTTGTTTCGAAACTAGTTATTTTTCTTTATGTACAGATATAAGGTGAATAATGTAATGTTTTAGGTCTTCATTTTTTGAACTGTGTGTCGATCATCTTGACAATATATTAAATGCGTGGGCATTTTTTTTTATTAAAACCAAACTGTATGTGGTTCCTCTTGTTTTCAATTTGAATTTATTTTATTATTTGATTTTTTTTTAAATTTATTTATTCGTATTTGTAATGATTTTTTTTTTTTTTTCATATGCTAACAGTATTTGCTAAAAGTATTTGCAAATAAATTGATTTTGTTCGCAACACGTGGATGCTGAATACATTTACAGACATTTTACAATTTAATGTAAAGATAGATGGCTACAATAAGTCCGTACAGACCCAATACTTCGGCGAAAATGAGAATCAAAATCATACCGACGAACAAACGTGGCTGTTGTGCTGTACCTCTTACACCAGCATCACCAACAATACCAATTGCAAAACCGGCAGCTAAACCTGAGAAGCCGACCGCCAGTCCTGAACCTAAGTGCATAAAACCTCTGCAAAATGCAAACAATCCAAGATAAAAGAATATTGCCGATTAGATTATTTTGATTTGTTTTTATGTATTTTTTTGTGAGATGAACGACAAAACCTGGATTTGGTCGCAATTAACTTACTTGAACAGTGAATAACCTGTTTTTGAGTCTGTCAGTTGACCGGCGATAAGTACAGCCACTACCAGACCGTAAATGGCAATGATACCAGCCATGACAACGGGAATGATTGATTTCATGATTAATTCGGGTCGCATCACTGACATAGCAGCAATACCTGTTCCAGATTTTGCTGTTCCATATGCAGCTCCCAAAGCTGAAAACAAACAAAAAAAATCAATTAATAATGGATTGAAATGTCATCATAGTTCGAAGCGAACGTCTATCTGTCTCTGTGTGTTTCAGTTTTGTATAATTCGTACGCCGTTCACAATGTGCACATTTAGTTTATACGACACTTTTTGCTACGCGCACAAATTAAAGGAAAAATAAAACTGAAAACTCACATTTTAAGACGCTATGTTATATTTTGTAGTATACTATAGTATACTATAAATCAGCAAGAGCTAAATATAGATAGACTAGGAAATATTTAAAATTAACACAGAAACGTTCTAGCCGAGCAAAGCACATAGACAGAAAGAGACAGAGAGTTCGAATTATCCATCACCTGTTTCGCACTTTTCATGCACTCATTTATTTGTACATTTTGCACTCACACCAAAATTTTGCTACTACTGAACGTATCATAATGATTTAATTCAATATGTGACTGAGTTAATTGTTTCATATACTCATGAATTGCCATTTCTTCCTCAAGGAAACATATAATTTGAATTGTGTATTTGATGTGAAACGTTGTTTAAGATTTTTTTTAACGCAAATATATTTTGTATAATTTTACGAAAGTCGTAATTTGGTCCAAATATAATATACATAAACAATACAGTGTTTACAGTCACATTTCGCTATGTATTGTTTTTAATAACAATAAAAAAAATATATATTGAAAATTATGTGTTGGCATAGATTTTGAAACCGGCACATGTGATATTGTTTAAAATTCTATGTGCGTTCTTATGCTATTTTTTTATCTCTCTATTTGTCATCAAGAAAAATTCAACATATGTATTCCTGTCTGGTTGGACCTTTTAGATATTTCGACGAATAGATTGGATGATAAACAGATAGTAGAATCTTTTTTTTTAGTGGAAAAAGAGAAAAAATCGCTCCTTTTTTGAACAAAAAAAATCGTCGACTATTTTTGTGCGTGCAAGTCATATCTTTTGATTTTTTATACTCGTTGTGTCTAAGCTTACAGTTAATCGTAAGTATATGGTGAAGGTATACACATGGAGTGTGAGTATCGATGCGAACATGTGTGCGTTTGAAAATTTTTCATATGCAGTATGAATTAAGAACATTTGGTTCTATTTTATGGCTGTGAATAATATCGACGATTGCCGAGATATCCAATCATTTGATTTTTCTTTTTTTATTTCCAGTGTTTACATTTTATAGTTTCAATATTTTCCATAGTTTCATTCAATCTCAATGAATAATTGTATTCTTATTTTATTTAATACAGATAGTATGACGTTAAGGGAGAAAAAAAGGTTTGGTGTCCCAAAACTTCAATTGAAATTGTGACAATGAAAAGGGGCATAAAAATCATTTTGATTTCAAGTTGAAACTAATGGGGTTATTTATTTATTTATTTATTTATTTTTTCATTATACAGATGCATATTGAAAACTAAATAACTGTACAAAAAGGAGTTGAGCGTTTAATGTTTTATTTGTATGGTAAAAAATCAAGCAAAGGAAAAAAAATCATATATGTTGTATGTTGCACGTCTCAAAAATGTATTATATGTATTGTACGATTGTACCGCATACAAAGTAAAAAATTGACAAACACGTACTTCAAGTTAAACAGATCATGTGACATTGCCCCACCTATGTGAGCCCCACAAGTATATTCATTGATCAAAACACGAGTTCAATTGTATTTTTGCTTTTATTCCAATTTGGTTTGTATTCATAAATTCAATATGCATTACAAAATTTCGGAATTCAAGCTTCAAAATATTACATAAAGTAATTTCTCTTTGCCAATTTGAAAGCAAATAAATTGTAATCTCATCATTGCTCTCTTTTTGAATCATTTACTTCAATTTTTGACGTAACGGAAGTCATGTGATAGCTATGGTACACTTGTTGATAAAATGGTTTCTCAATGAATTCATTACAATAAAGACAAATGTGATATTCCGCCATTGCGTGTGCCATAATATTCACTACGCACCAGATAAAATATATATGTATCCAGTTCAATATGAATCAAGTTAAAATCAATTACACTTCAATATGATTTTCGTCGAAATTTTGCGTTTTTTTGGCTTTATAATATGATCATTTTAATTATCTGCATTCATATAAAAGACACCAGACTAAAAAAAATCAAAATATGAGCATTTGGAATGGAGCAGGCTTGTGATATTTTGTCTACAATAAGAGCAAATAATGATTGTACCCGATCTGCACGTGTATATCAATTTTGTTCACACTATCTTCATCATTTAAATGCGAATGGGAAAATTCAGACATTTCAAACAATGATTCTACGATGTAAATTAGAATATATGGAAAGTTTTTTTTACGAAATGTTCATTTATTTATGTTTGTAGTTTTTAATCTGTTCATAACTGAAACACGTTTGATTTTAGGACGAATAGATTTTCTTCTTCTATTGTACGAAAACAACAAACTGCCATATAAATTATTTATTATTTTATATGGATACGATTCGAAACATTTGATTTTCATTCTTGTTTTGGTAGGCCAATATTTTAATGCCATGGGGTGCCTATGAGTCAATTATTATAGCTCAAATTCATAATAAAATCAAGAAAATCTTGATATCAATATTTCAATTAAAAAAAAAATCCGCTTTTCCATATGGTAGTGATTGAAGAAGAAAAAAATTGCCATTGAACGAAGCAAGTCATTTTGCGAATTTCATTTTGCAAGATGACTTTTTCAAATTTAAAAGCGAATGACACATGACGCGTCACATGCTCTTCATAAATCGATGAATCTACTTGAATCAGCAAAGCAGTTTTATACACTAAGCACAAATACACAACCACATATAAACATTGAAATCAAATATCTTATCATTGAACGGAGCTGATGTTATTTGCCATACTAAACATTTACGTAAAATAGCCACGAATACGACATACACTCGCACGTCCATATCATATGATGAACGTGAAGGAGAAAATGTTGGTGTGTTGCATACGAAAAAGCGATACATATGTGTGATTGTTGGTGTTTCGATTTGCGTTTGAAACCGATGTACCGAATATTTCACGAACAAATTTTACGAAGAAGCAATAAACGAAAGAGAGTAAGAAAAAATCGAAATTCATTCGCATATGTATAAGTGCAGAACTCGTGACATATTTTTATTAGCACGACTTTAACCGGTACAAAAAAAAGTCTTTTGGAAATGTTTTATAAATTTGACGCATCAGGCATAAGAATAAAAACGTTTAACTCTAGGATATTTTCTGTGTGTACTATGTTACATCCATTAAATTGCATCTAAATCTTGGCTTAGAAATGAAAATGAAACAAATTGATTTTTCTCCTTTGAAATGTCAAAAGAAACAAAAACTGAACACTAATAAATTTGTTCAAAATGAAACGGAGATCAAAGTTAGCAAAATCTTTGCTTTGATGCTATGATTTAGATGGACGGAAGTGAGACACATACTTAATATGAAAATCAGTAGTCCTTGGCCCAAAATCAATATATCCCATTGTAGGGTATTGCGTTTAAAGCATTTCTCTTACAAATACATATGTTTGGAATGATGTATTTGTGATAGATTTTTAATAATCATTTTCATCGACAAACGACATCAACGAATAAATTTTCATTGCGAACAACTTGTTTCTTTTTCTCTTTCTCACGTACACACAAACTGATATACATTGAGAACTTTCCAAACTGCGTGGTGTGTGCATTTGAAATTCTGTGTGCATATACTCTTTGTATTACAGTAAATTTTGAAACATTTCTCTGTGTTTCTCTGATTTTCAGATAGGTTGAACTGAGACTTAATCACACTTACCACTAAAGATGATAGCTGAAGCGGCTCCCATTACACCAAAGAATGGACCGTAGACTGGATTATTAACAAGATCTTGAGGTTGTCCTGACATTTTGTTAGAGATTTGATTGCTTTCTTGTGGCGAGTCAAAAAATTAAATATTTGTAGTTGGCAGAATGTTTTAAAATTCTGAAGAACGTATGGAGTTTTCGTTTGGTTTATCCCGGTTGACTTGGAAGTTTTTTTTTCTTTTTATGCGCTGTCGCTCTTTCACTCTCACAATCAATTACTTGACTTTGTCCGCTTTTATTGATTTTGATTTTGCGAATTTAGGTGTTTTTATTTCTCTGATTGAAATTTTTTTCTGTGTTATCTCGGTTTTTCTTCGTATTTTTTCTGTTGTGTATTGAAAATAATCCGTTCGGAGTATTTACAGGTCCAGAAAAAATATTTGTGGTTGGTATTTAGAAAAATGATAAAAACAGAACTAGCTTTACGCACGTACAGCACTTAACTAAAATGTCCCAGCGAAACACTCTCCAATATGATCTCACTAGATATAAAACGGTCATATGACACACGACTATGTCACAAATTCATGCAACGCGATTGCTGATTGGTTGCGTTTGTTGTGTGCGTGCAAATTATGACCAATAAGCGAGTCGCTTTGATTGCCGCTCACTATTCGGATACGTATACGAATACATCTAGTGTGTTGAGTGTATTCGTTTTGCATGTAAAACTCGCATCAGCGCTTCGACACATTGTCATAGTGCGCGAGCGCTGCGAAATAAATAATTGTGCTTGTATTCAATTTAATTATTGTTATCTCATTGAAGGCATTGAAGGCATTGATATACCAAATATACGTTCACATACACAATGAACAATACACATGTATCGACATTGTGTCACATAACCCAATATACAATGGTATTGCTTTTTTATATGGAAAAGGGGAATTATACTTATCACTTGCTCATATGAACCGCTTAGAATAAAAGTAGATAATGGTAGAAAGTTAAAAAAAATCTCAATCATAAAGTGTTATGAAAATAATACTCAATCAAGGAAAAAAGTGAAAATAAAAGTCGATCAAGAAAAAAATTGAAAATAAAAGTCAAACACAATTTATGATCGATTTTTATTTTCACTTTTTTTCTTGATTGAGTATTATTATAACTCAATTTATGATAGAGATTTTTTTTCACCTTTTTCTTGATTGATTAGTGATTTTTCTAGTTGACCATTTAGTGGTGTTCGAGAATTGAGGAAAAAATGTCTTTTTTCTTTCACTTTTTACTTTTCCGCTGAAATGGCACTGTTGTAGGTCCGTATATATTTGGCGTTTGCCATTTCAGCGGTCTTCCGTGTTTTTCATACAAGCCTCCCATGTAGATGGTGAAAAATCGTGAAAAATGAAAAAAATTCTTAAATTTTTTTTCTTCGATTTACAAATACTACTCAATTCTCTGTATCACCTGGTGAAATCAGAATGAAAAAAATCGCATTCCTTATCATCCAAATCACGATCTGGACTTTTTTCACTGTTTGAGTGCTCTATACCGAGTCTCCGAGAGTTTCATATAAAGTTGCTATGTGATGCCTATTGAATAGTAAGCGAATACCAATCGTGATTGAATCAATAGGCGTCATTTGGCTATTGCAAGGCGAGTTTATATGAAACTCTCGGAGACTCGGTACAGAGCACAAAAAGTGAAAGAAAAAAGACATTTTTTTCTCAATTCTCGAACACCACTAAATGGTCAACTAGAAAAATCACTAATCAATCAAGAAAAAGGTGAAAAAAAATCTCAATCATAAATTGAGTTATAATAATACTCAATCAAGAAAAAAAGTGAAAATAAAAATCGATCATAAATTGTGTTTGACTTTTATTTTCAATTTTTTTCTTGATCGACTTTTATTTTCACTTTTTTCCTTGATTGAGTATTATTTTCATAACACTTTATGATTGAGATTTTTTTTAACTTTCTACCATTATCTACTTTTATTCTAAGCGGTTCATATGTTACTTGCGTCAGCAAGGAATGGTTCCACGGTCCGTAAAATTTTCATGTGACTTACATTTTTACACACAAGACAAAACAAGTATTAACGCATATAACATGTAATGTATCATCGTTTAGCTAACAACACGTGATTCATCATACCACAGAAAAATTTCTCCTTAAATTCTATTGGAATGAAATTTATCTTTTTTATTTTGTTTTTTTTTTTTACTTGAATATTCTATTTTGAAAGAAGGATAATTGAATAATTTAAGCGATTTTAAGCGAGTTAATTGATGTAAAAATACAAAAATTGATTTCAAATATTTAAAAAGTATTCATTATTTTCATGGAAGCATCGAAGAAATTGTTTAACATTTTTTGTGCAAATAAATTTCAAAAGTTAAATCATCTGACTCGGTATCGTTCCATTAATTTTGATCAGATTTGTTTATATGATATAAAATGAAAGAATAGAATTCAGCTGGAAGATGTGATCAACGACATACAACGTTCACGCGCTCAATCACACAGCATACACAAACATACCTATTATTTAACAACAGATCGTTGGTAGACTCTCGTGACCGGGCACATGCAACCGAATTTGTGCTAAGAAAGCATATTGTTATATTGTACTATAGCCTATATTGTACTAAGAAAACATACTATCGCATGATATTACACATTGTATGAATAAATAAATGATTACTACTATTTATAAGCTCAGAACTCAGTATATTTGCCGTTTTCATTCATAATTTACTTCATACATATATACTATAACAATGATATTTTATTCACTTTTTTTCTACCAAAAATGTACATACTAGTGTTTTTCTAGTGCTTTTGTCAATAATTCGTTGATAGATTTGACGAGGCTTTGTGCATCTTCAATTAGTCGAGCACCAAGCATTGCATTTCCAAACAATTGATTGATCAAAAGTTGACTGAGCTCTGGATTTGAATCTTTCAATTGGAACAACTTTTTAATAATTGGATGCTTTGGATTAATTTCCAATTGCGGTTGCAAGATAGCATATCTATTTTCTTCAGGAATTTGATGGCCTTGCGATCGAATGAAATGACGAGCATCAGCCATATTTTCAACTGTAATCACACATGGATGTTCAACCAAACGTGTGGTAACTTTAACAGTGGACACTTTTCCCTCTAATTGTTTTTGAATCCAATCTGTTAACTCATTAACTTGTGAACGTTGCAAACTATCTTCGCCCAAAAAATTACTTAGATCCGTTTCATTTGTATCGGCACGCATTTCCTTTTCAACCGAAATAATATCTTTGCCAGCAAATGTTTTCAGATATGAGAACACCAATTCATCATATGGATCATAACAAAATAATACTTCGATATTTTTTGATTTTAATGCTTCAAAATATGGTGAACTTTCAGCTAATTCGCGATTTGGTGCGGCCAAATAGTAAATCACTTTTTGGTCTGGTTCCATTCGTGCACAGTAATCCATCAATGAAATCTTTTGATTCTTATTTTCTACACGATTTGAATTGTATCGCAGTAGTTTTCCAATTTCTTCGCGTTGTTTTATGTCGTCTGATATTATGATTCCTTCTTTCAAGAATAAATTATAATCATTGTAGAATTCTTCGAATCCAGTTGGCTCTTTTTTCGCACATTCTTGTAGATGCCGCAAAATACGGGAAGTTAATACCTAGGGATACAAATGAAACAGTTTTAGAAGGTATAAAATATTCATAATCGTAAAAATATTATTACATTTCGTAATTTTGCGATTAGTGCACTATTTTGCAGAAGTTCACGACTCAAGTTCAATGGAATGTCCTCCGAATCAACTACACCTTTCACGAATCGAAGCCATTTTGGCAAGAGTTTGTCAACCTTTGATTGAATCAAAATTTTACGTGTATACAGTGCTAATCCAGCCTCAGTAGATTGTGATAACTCCATCAAATTTGGTTTTGACGATGGAAAATACAACAATGCCCGAATACTTATTGGAACGTCTGTCTGTAAAAATGATGAAGAAAAGATACAATTTTTATCAAAAATTGAACATTTACAAAGACAAAAAAATTATGTTCATTTTTGTTAAATAGCAAACTCCTCACTTTATAATGTAAAGTGAAACGCGGCTTTAAATACGTATTTGAAACAAAACGATAGAAATCATCGTATTGATCGGTTGTTATGTTCTTCGGATCCATCAACCAAAGTGGTTGCAATTCATTCACTTGTTCTTTATTCAAATAAACTGGATGGCCTACGAAATTACTGTATTTTTTGATGACAGCTAAAATAAAAATTATATAAAATTAGATTATTAATCATTGTTGAATTAGACCAGACAATTTTTCATTTGTGAAGTGAGCTCACTCACTTTTGATTCGATCCTCATCGGCATATTCGCGACATTCTGCTTTCAAGTGTAAAACGATTTTGGTGCCAATCTCAGCATCGTCGATATCTTCAATTTCATATGTTCCTGTGCCATCTGATGTCCATTTCAAACCAGATGATCCTGGTTTTGCTGACTTTGTAAAAACTTCAACTTTATTGGCAACCATACTGTCAAGAGGTTATATATTTTGTTAAAACTCTTAAAGCAATAATAGTTTATAAAATAAACTTACAAAGCGGAATAGAAACCAACGCCAAATTGACCAATGATATTTGAAGCATTGTCGCTGGTATTACCAGATTTTTGAATTTCATCCAAAAATTGTTTTGAACCACTGCGAGCAATTGTTCCCAAATGGCTGATTAATTCCTCTCGAGTCATGCCTTTATAGTGAAATAACAGACACTTTGAAATATTATGAAGAAAATATTTCAACACTAGACCTTACCTATTCCATTATCTTTGATTGTCAATGTTAATGCTTGTTTATTTGTTTCCAAATTAATTTCAAGGGGCCTATCGATATTTTCATATTTGCTTTGATCTCCGCCAGCCGTTTGAATGGAATAACGAAATTTTTCCAAGGCATCACTAGCATTTGATACTAGTTCACGCACAAATACTTCACTTTCCGAGTATAGTGATCGGGCGACTATATCCAACAACATTCGTGTTTCAGCTGAAATTAAATAAAACACTCTTTTCAGGAAATGTAGCTCGCAAAATGAAGAAGAAAATGCATACCCTTGAATTCGTGCTTATCAACTTGGCTTTTGAATGCACGTTTTGCACTAGCAGAGCAAAAATATTGCTTTTGAACAATCAATGGAACACTCGATTGCATTGATGCAAGGTTATATTCATCTAAAAGATGAGAAAATGTTATACAAGTGCCATTCTGTGGACCTTGCGATAGTAAAACTTGATTGCTTTTGAAAGTGTTTTTTTTTGTCAATTATGCCACTAACCAGAATTGGTGCAATGCAAAGGCGGCATTTGCCGAACACTTTGCATCAGCAGCTTTGAAGAGCCAGAATAAATAGCTCGATTTTGCTTAAGCAAATTGAGTAACCGTAAACTGGATGCCATTTCGAAAACAATAAAACAGTTGAGCAAAATTAATCTTTTTTAATGTTGCAAAATTCAAAATGTTCTAGATGATACAAATCGAATGATAACAAACATGTGTACTCTTTTACATGCTGTCTTTTTGACATTGCGTGCCTATGTGAATGTTAAAACTGAAATCACTAGATCAACGTTACGGCCATCTGTAGTTTCGATTTAGAATCAATGTGTTACTTTCTTTTTTCGCATTTTCTTCTTTTTCTACATTTATTAATTTTTTATGATAAAACGTTTTCTACATATCTTAAATGTTTTTTTTTTCTAAAGATTAAAATAATAAAATTCAAAAAGACTTGAAAAATCAATTTTGACAACACACATACAATTGAGTTTGACAATTCATGATTTTTGTTGTAGTCAAAAAGTGTGTGTTTGTTTTTAAAAGTTCATTTTCTGAATGATTTTCAAAAGTTACAAATAAAATTGTAAATTTATTGTCAAAACACCAGCATTGTGATTAGCACTGACGGATGACAGAGCACTGAGCAGACTAAAAGTAATTTTGAGCCCGAAATCCCTATATTTGCTGTGCATTGCAAATAGAAATGCTCAGCATTCAAAATGAGGGATTCGTTGTGTTTTTCGATTTTTTTCGTTGGAATATTTGTCGTGTTGATTAATGATGGATACAAATAAAGTGATATATCGAGCGATGCATTATAAGTATAAACGAAAAAAAAATGTGCATACTTGGCGATTATTTTATGTGAATTCATCAATTTATAAATTACAATTTTACAATAAACTGATTAAATGTGTGTTTTGTGTATCAAAGACCAAAAAATCACAATACGATAACCTACTTCAAATAGAATTCAATGCAAGCACATTCAATCTGTTTATTTTTCAGTTTATACATTGAGCTAACCACAGCAATGAAACAACAACAACAATAACACATATTTTTACTGTCCAAATTTTGATGTCAAATGGTGTCGACATTGGTGACGGTATCTTGAAACAGACTGAACTAGCGTGGACATGGACTGTGTGTTTCTTCTGTTACATGTACATACGTTGTAATGGACAAGTATAGTAACATGGCGTCGTTCAAATAAATTTAAAAATCCATCCACTCGTGTCGACACCATCTAGCACGGTAGTAGGGATTTCATTGCTGTGGAGCTAACTAAATAAAATAATTTTTATTGTTTTATTCGAAAACAATTTCTTCCTTCTATTTTCTTCTATGATTGGCGTGTATTGAAGCAGATGCTGAAAAACAAAAATCGAGTGCCTGATTCAGTTTGACTTGGCACGTTTTTAAGTTCAAGCGATTTGTTGGCACCTATCAGTCCAACCGATATTAGTATTCAAGCATTATCACAAATATCGTTACATCATGACGACAAAACCACAACAGTTTTTTAGATTGTGTGAAATAGATGTGCTCACTCGATCAAATTGTAAAATTAAAGATCCTGAACATGTTTTAAAAATAATAAATAATATTATTAGCGGAGGCAACAAAGAATTACAAATTGTGACAGATTTTGATTTTACACTGACGAAACAGAAAACGCACGACGAGAAACCGGTTTTATCTAGTTTTGGCATGTTTAGAAAATGTAAATCATTGCCAACATCATTTTTAGAGGACACCAAAAAGCTATACGAAATATACCGGCCCATCGAAATTTGCCCAAAAATTACGCAGAACGAAAAAAGAAAGCATATGATTGATTGGTGGGTGCAAAGCCGCGATTTATTAAAGTAAGTAAATGTTTATTTACGGGGTGAAAACTGTTTAACTCTTTTAATTCTTTCTACAGAGGTTTTCCATTTGATTCCACTGAAATAGAGCAATTAGCCAAAGAATATGGACATGTACTGCGAGATGGAACACACGACATTTTTTCACTTTCCGAAGAAATGAATGTACCAATTCTGGTATTTTCAGCTGGATTGGGTGATTCAATTCGAGCAATTTTACGGCATGAACAAATCTTTTTTCCAAATGTAAAACTTGTATCAAATTTTCTTAAATACGACAACGGATTACTCAATGGATTTTCCGATGATTATCCTCTTATTCATACCTTTAATAAAAATGAAACTGTTTTAGAAGGCACAGAATATTATGACATGGTTCATAATCGTAAAAACGTTATTCTCATGGGGTTTGTAATGATTCCGTTCCGTTTGATTACACTGTGTGTCACCAAAAATCTAACTGACATGAAAGACACCATTTCCGCATAATTTTGGG